AAATGTGATTTTATGCCTTTTCTCGCTCTTTAGTGAAAACTACTTCTTCTATAAATTCCTCAATAAATAATTGATAATTTAGGACTTGGCAGCTATAAATGGTCAAAGCATCGAAATGCTGAGAAGCGTCTTCAGCACTTCCCTGACACGAATAGTGACATATCCATAGAAAAATAAGTTGACATAAAATGGCATTTTTCTTTGTTTTATCCACATTTGACTATTAGTAAATTATTGGATATCTGAGAAATTGCGATGCTGCCAATATTCCAGGGCCCTAATTCTGGAACTTCGATATAAAAACGTTATGCTTACAAAGCGGTAAGAGAAAGTACTCGATTAGCGGAACGCCAAGCAGTCGATTTTGCTATTCTCGATGCCGTGCCAATCGTTTTCTGGATAGGTCTCAGGTATCTAATAATTTGCTAATAGTCAAATGTGGTTAAAACGATGAAAAATGTCAATGTTAATTGACAACAAGGGCCCCAATTCTGTGACTTTTAGATGCTTTAACGGCTAACGCGCTTTTAACGGCTAATTACAGCATCATCCAGTTAATGGACGGAACTTTCCTACGTGCGGCGCGGCGTGGTCGCCGAGTTGCGTTCTGCAACAACTTCGTGAACGGCTTTGGACCCATTGTCGGACTAGAGACGGGACCCAACATTCGCCTATTCACGGCCGTAGTCCTCGCTTTTACCAACTATCCTGCACCCATAGCCGGCCCCCCGCAGGAGAGATACCTATTAAACCAGGGAGTCCAACTACGGGGGAAAATAGTAAAAAAGCAAGTCCGGAGAATCCCCAGACCATCTATGAATGGCCCAGACCATCTATGATGGCGCTGGTTACCGGGGAAAGCCACGTGGAGGCCGCTGCCAGAGATGCCGAATTTGACATCTCTGCTCGCCCGCCGAGACCCGTCCCACAGGGGAGGTCATACGACTCGCATCGTAGCAGCTCAAACACTTACTAACACGTAGTAATATATTAACACTCAGGTGTATAAATAAAACAACTAAAATATATGTACAACTTAAAACCTAGTATCACAGACTATATCACAGTACATATATGTACACCTAACCTACTATATACAATATTGCATGAATAAATATCATGTAAGACAAACAGTGTTTAAATAAAATAGCCACTGTAAAAGGGTGGCTATAGACAAAAGACAGTGCTAATAACAGTGCTTCGTGCTATTTGGCCATAGGTTGTGACGGACTAGCGGAGTCGTCCGTTCGTATTTTTCGACCCCGGACGTTGGGGGCGGGGCCTGTTGTAGTCCATGAAATTGTGGTATATGTCGATGGAACTACGAAGTGCTATCAACGACACGGTCGAAAGCACACTCCGATTCGTTATACCTAACTTTTTGAGACAGGCAACGGTTGTGTTGGGAATGGCCCCACGGGAACCTACCACTATGGGTAGTACCTAGGGTTGGAACCCAACAAAAAGGTTTTTGACAAAAGAAAACCGGCCTTCCAAAAAAACCTAAAAACTTCGGTCAACCATATCAATATAGCTAAATAGCATTCATACCCGAAAAATTTAAAAGGTAGCAGACGGCTATATTTCTCGTATTTAGTTTGTCGACCAATAGCGAGATTGTTCCCATCTTCGTGGCGGACTATTACATCGACCACGAAGAGCCCTCCCCGGTTTTGTATTACCAGGTCGGGTTTGAGATTCCCACCACTGTGGTGCGTCACTGTAGTTTTCACAGTTACTGCTACCTCCCGGCCTTGCTTTGCCAACTTAACTGGTGCAGATTTAGGTGTGGCAACTGCTCACGCATTCTGACCACCATAAACCCGTCACCCTGGTACCAAAGTTCACACTCCAACATGGTATTTAGTGAACTCTATATTAAGTGGGGGAGGAGTGACTTGGCGGGTACCAGCTGCCCTCGCCTCATTTCGGGTGACGGGGTGCCTGTGCCTTTGGTGCGTGGTCAGCGCACCACGGCCTGGGAAAACACCACCGCAGTCGGGGCACGACTGATTCATAAGACCCCTTGTGCGGCACGGGTTCTCCATTTTCCGCCTCGCTCGTGAGGCCTTCATTAGGCAGGGCCGCCGCCTCCCTCTTGGGACACTTAGGAAAGAACTTTTCACATATGCGGCAAATATATCTGACCGGAACTCTTGGGTGGATATCTTTTGCATGCCGCACCTGATCTTGTATACTCAGGTGCAAGGAATTCCGGTCCTGTTCGAGACACAGAACGCAACTCTGCGCCTCAAAAGAAAGCCATATTTTAATTTCGTTTCCGTTCTCATTGTCCATTTCCAAGCCATGTTGTCTTCGTTGAGCCTCCTGTCTTAATGATGAAGGACGAGGCTAGTATCCTCCACCATCATCCGAGGCTTCTATGTCCCACCGCTAGCGTGCTAAGCTAACGAGGGCCTCTTTGCCTCCTTCGAAGGATGTGAGCTCCATCCCGCCCGGTCTGGTTGGCCCGGAGTGTTCCCAATGCGTTCGTCTGCAGAGGGATCTGGCCGGCTGTCTCCAGAAAGCAGCCCCGAACGGCTGAGCTAGACCTACTCAACCGCGGCGAGTCCCAAATGGGTCGGGGCTTAATAATAACCATGCCTGCTCGAGTTGATGATGCTTCAACTCTTGCGGACGCCAAATGTCTCCACACCGAGTGCCTTCCGGACCCCATGGCCGGTCGGAACCTCGAGTGGCGCATGCCGCGCATTGTTAATCCTTTGTTGGCCTGGGAAGATGTCCCAGTTACCGGCGGTGCCACGAAGAGGCCAAGGGTTGAGCACTAGACGTCAAGAGGTGGGGTACCATGTTGTATGAGTTCCTAGAAATGTTGGCATAAAAAAAGCATGTCTCGAGCATCGGTCCGGCACTTGCCACTTTCCGGTCTCTCCACCATCTAAGAGATGCTCTCCCACCTTTTAAGAGAGTCATAGTTACTCCCGTCAATCTGAATCGACTCGGCATAACTCGACACTAGGGTATGAAATTCACGTAACATTGACATTTTCATCGTTTTATCCATATTTGACTATTAGTAAACTATTAGATACCTGAGAAATTGCGATGCTGGCAATATGTGCTCAATGCGTATCCAGAAAACGATTCGCGCGGCAACGAGAATTCCAAAATCGTACTGCTTGGCTTTCCACTAATCGAATTCTTTCGCTTACTGCTTTGAAAGGATAACGTTTTTATGCCAAAGTTCCAGAATTTGGGCCCAGACATGGCACTTCACTATCTCTCTCTCTGTTCAAGATCAAGTTCCTATCCTGATCTTGAGAAATGAGAAATATTCGATCCCACATTTTATCTCCTGAACCGGTTCCATGTTTTTTTAATTATGTATAACCAAGTATTTCAATTGTGTGACCTGTTTGAGATTCATATTTATGTGAATTCTCATGTTCGGACATGTTTCTACTAACAGCCATAAATTTAGTTTTACTGATATTAAGTTTCAGACTCAGTCTTTGACTTTTGTTATTGCCCTTATTTATTTTGATTTCGAGCATTTATATTGTTTGCCAATATCTTGGTGTCATCAGCATATTGAATATTATTAAATGGAATACTTTATTTTTATGCCTCTTTTCACATATAAATTGAACAACATTGGAGACAAGATATACCCACTGCCTTACTGATAAGCCTTATAATTTTCCCATTAAAGGTTGTTTCTCACTATACCTTCCGTTTTCCTTCCGTTCCACATCCTTTCCTTCCATACATTTTTTTTGGCGGACGGACTGAACAGCGTTCTCAAGTTCTTATATTTGTACCAGCTCTGTTAACATTCTGCTGATATTTATTTATTCTTTCACCTCTTAATTAAACCTATTATATTTTTCAAAAGATACAAATTTAAAAACTTTCGTAATTATATAAATTGTATAATAAAAAGTATGGAACTGATACGGAACGGAAGCTTATGTATAGAGTCAATATAATACATTTCTTGTATAGAGTCAATACAATAAAAAATACGGAGCGGATATGGAATGGAAACGGAAGGTATAGTGAGAATCAACTTTAAATCCTAAATATCTGAGGCATGATATAAGAAGGTTATGTTTATTGTCGAACGCCTTGTTATGGCTATAAAGCACATGAAGACATATTTTCTCTGATCTTGAAAATTCTGTTCAATTGTTTGGAGGCTGAATATGACTTCTAGTACAAAAGCCGTTCTATAAATCAACTGTCTCCACCTACTTCGAGTCTTTTATGTAGAAGACGGAAAAATCTTAAGGAAGTGGCTTTTTAGACTTATAAAATGACACTCTTTACACGAAGTTAAAACGGACCCTTAACACAAACGTAGAACGGAGCCAGTCTTCAGAGATATAACCGGCGTCATAAATGTTGTTGAAAAACCGTACTATCCTTGCTCGGCAATTAAGTGTTTATTTGTTCGTTTCCGAATACTTCTCATCAGATCCTGAAGTTGTGTAGTATTTCATTATTCTCATCTATAATTTCACTTTCCAATGTGCTTGGTCCTGATGGCATGATTTTTTAATTGCAGGATTTTATGGCCTGTCATTTAGTTTCCGTTATCATTTTATTTTCCTCAGTTTTATAAAAAAATATAAACTTAATAATAGTGCTGGAACTAGCGCGCATTTAAAATAGTACCAATCCCTCCGATATAGGTATTAACCTCGCTATCAACATATCGGGCAACATTAGGCGATACAATGACCTCATGTGAATAATAATGGATTCTATCATTTTTCCCCGAGACTTTGTAGTCTTCTACTTCAGCTCACCATCTTTATGTCGTTAACCATATTCTGCAGTGTTTGATCTTTAGGTGCAAGTTTATCAGTTCCGTTATCAATGAGTGCCTAGTAGTTGGTAGTGCCGATTTTTTACGTTAGAAGCTACATATTATTCGGTTTACGAGTGTTTCAATTAAAATATAATATTTGCAATACAACTACGAGTATAATAAAATTATAATTGGCAATAACACTATTTAAATCTACCAAAAATAGATGGAGGTGTACCCGGTTATGACTATGAAGGAGCGGAGCAAATGGTGCTAGGTGATGCTGGTGGTTTTCCAGAAATGTCAGGAATTCCAGGTATGCTTTTTAGCATATTATCAATAAGGGAACACTTATATTCATTCTGCTTATGGCAATTTGTTCAATAATATTTAACTATTTTTTAAATTCTCTGGGCTAAGTGGAAACATTATTAATCTATGAATTAAACCATGATAGCGTGACATTTTAATTTGCCTGGATTTATTGTATATTACAGTGTCTGTGGTAGTGGGTTTTCTGTAAATATCATATTGTAATCTATTAGACTGTTTTATAATTCTAATGTCAAGAAAATTGATGGTATTAATACCTTTTCCAATAGTAAATTGTATTCTCTTGTTAATTGAATTTAGTAAGGTTAAAAACTGTCTTAATTTCTCTCGGTTGTTTTTTGGGTCTGGTGGCTATGGTTATATTAAAACAATAGCTTTTCGACGACATTTCGCATTTATTATATCATGCTTCTTTAGGATTTTTTTCTGGTCTATCCTATGTCTAAAAAACAATATTAAGTCAATAAGTAAAATATTCATAACATTAAAACAAAAATAAAAACAAAAGCACAAAAATTAAAATATTAACACATCAAATTATCATTAACTAGTTAAAAGTGAACAATGTATATTCATTTAATTAGCAGAAAGTAGTCTCGACTCACTAGTGAGAAAGAAAATCTAGGATCTAGTGGGGTTGCAGTCGGAAGGGTTTGACAAAGAATTAATACACTTTGTTAATTGTCATGCTTTCGGAATTTATTTATTCCTCCCTCAGGGCACTAAAATGGAAATACATGTTAGACAATTATTGTTCTAAAAGTTAAGAGTAAAAACTTACTTAACGTGGTACAGAAAAGACCTTCATAAAAAACTACATTAAAAATATGGCTCGTATTGATAACTCCACCGTGAAACATCGCTGACCAGTCAACCACAAAAAAGGGGGGAAGAGGACTCTTATAGGGCGGTTAAGCCGCCTGATATTTATTTAGAACATTGGAATAATTAAGAGATGTTCAATTAAAAATTAAAAATTCAATTGCGTCTAAGGCGTGAAGGCGCAAAGTAACTAACAGGCGACAACCGCGACATCCATCTGTCAACGGTCAATTGTGAAACGTCAAGTTTATAAAAGTGATATATGGATGCCGAACCGGGCTGTGGCATGTCAATCATTATATTCCTGTAAAAATTAATAGTGTGGGTGGTCATGTAGAAAAGTGGAGTGATCAAAGCACGCACACTTATAAAAACAGTTAAAAAACACCCTTACTCGTGCAACGAGAGAAAAATTAGGTGGTCATATACAATTACATTTACAATTCAAAAGATGTGATCAAATGTCTGCAACCAGAAAAACATTGAGCGCAATTCAAAAAAAAATTCTCTAAGCAATTGTACAACATTAAGATGTACTGAAATTTAAAAAGGAAAAAGAGGTACATTGCAAATAATTAGAAAAGGCTACACGTAAAAAAGTTAATAACGACAACAATCTGTCAATAATTATTAATGTGAAGCAATTGTCAGAAAAATCAGTTCGCAAAATTTTTTTAAAAAAATCTCTTACGTAAATATTGGTAACATTTTTAAATTACATAGGGTATAAAACTTACAAAAACACTCTGTAGAGGGGGGAACAAACAACATCAATAATTGAGACTCAATTGAATGACAAAAGTAAAGACAATATGCGGCTTGGACAATCCAAGAAAAGGCAATGCACCAAACTAGCAGTGCAATCCACGCAAATTGTTTATTATTGAAATAAAACATTTAATCAAAGGTAAAACCACCGTTGGTTCTGAAGGGACCAAGGGTGGGTGAAAAGAAAAAACAAGTGCACACGGGCACCTGTTATGGTGATATGCACTGGAAAGTGTTAGTGCATACACCTTGAAACAGTCCGAGAGGGACTGGGGAAGGGGCAATTAACAAAATTCATAGCATCTATAAAAGATATGGTCAATATTCCGTTGCATAGATCAACGAAATGAGACAAAGATCTCCAGGTGAAACAACTGTCCCACTCACCACCTACACAACAACTCATCACCACGCGATGGGTGCGAATTGTGTGAGTGCTCGACAGTCGACGCATTGTTGGTATGAGAATTCTTAAAAAATACGAATTTTCTTTGACTTAAAGGCTTCTAGTGATTAACCAAAAGCCTTTACGACAATTGGTAAGGCAAGTGATAATGTGAGGGGAACAACGAACAACCAAGAGACCGAGGTAGCTTTGTAATGCCAACTGTGGGTGCACGCAGCACGCACAGTACCTCAAAAACCTGCGATAGGCGAAGGGTTTTTTTAAAATACAATTTAAGAGGAGACTATGCACTGAAGGTGCAAAGCTCCCAAATAAAATAAGAGGGAAATGTTCCCCACAGTCATGACCAGAACCAAAGACGCAAAAGCCAGATCTCACATGTGTTTTTATCTCCTTATGATTTTCCACATGCTTAATTAACAAAGTGTATTAATTCTTTGTTAAACCCTTTCGACTGCAACCCCACTAGATCCTAGATTTCTTTCCTTTAATTATGTAATAATATCCATTCAATTATATGTATAAAAATAACATTAAAAAATATTAAAGAATATTAAAAATATTAAAAAATCAAAAAAGTGATAGCATACCTTGGGGTTTTTAATACCGTTTCTTTACTGACAAGTAACAACAACTGCCAGTCTCAGTTATACAACTACAATTATAAAATTTTAGGTGCAGGTACATTGGAAGAAGAAACATTTCCGGAATTATCACCTGGACGAAGAAATCCAAATCTCGAAAGGTAAAATTTTTGCATTAAATTATACTTAACTACAAAGAACATCGGAGATAATGGCGTCAAGTTATCTTAGCAATAAAAATCGATGCAATTTTCTTTGTTAAATGGGTATGATAAATGTCGATCATCCTGTCTAAGGTCAATTGACGTCATTTCTATCATAAGGTTATTGCAAAATAAAACACTAATTAACCACAAAACACTAACATGGTTAGCGAAACGCCCATCCAGTGAAAAAGTAAAAGTGTTTTGTTGTATTGTGGTTAATTAGTATTTTTTATTTTGCTGTTCGAACACCAAAGGTTCCAACTCCCAACTGTAATAAGGTTACCACTCGTGTGTTAGTTAGAGTGTCCCACAACAATGTCGCACCTGCGCACTACTCGCCCGACTGTTAGCGCTGCGCCCCCGAAACTAAGTGAGGTTATACCTCCTTGCTGGGAGTATGCCCCCGAAACAAATTGAGGTTAGATACAAAACCGTATTATAACCGACACACGTCTTACTTCAACGAGAGGAAGTAAGACGTGTGTCGGTTATAATACGGTTTTGTATCTAACCTCAATTTGTTTCGGGGGCATACTCCCAGCAAGGAGGTATAACCTCACTTAGTTTCGGGGGCGCAGCGCTAACAGTCGGGCGAGTAGTACGCAGGTGCGACATTGTTGTGGGACTCGTAAGTGTGTGCGCAGGTGTAACTAATAGTGTGCAGAGGGACAAGGACAAAGACATTGAATAGGACAAATTACGTTAGTGGTTAGGATTACTAGTTAAGAGCAAGGACAAAGATCTTATAAAGTAGGACAGTGTAGATTAGTTAAGTAAGATACAAGGACAAGGACCTTAAGATGATAGTGGTCGAGGTATAATAGACAGTTGGACTTGGAGCATATATAAGCACAGGCGTGCGCATTGGCGAATATCAGAACAATCTGATATTCGCCTTTTTTATGGACAAATCTCTACGTACTTGTACAATTTTGTGGATACTTCAGTGCGGTTATAGTTAGAGTCACGTGAACGATTGGCGAATATCGGAGTAGTCCGGTGTTCGCCTTTTTTATTGGTACAAGTTTAGGTACTTGTACAACGTGGAAATGGCGGAAAGGGAGGACACCCAGGAAGGGGTCAAGAGGAGAAGGGAGGAGAAGACTTTGGACATAGAAAGATTGGAAAAGGAGATAAGAGAGACGGGCGGAAATTTCCCGAGGAGAAGCAGTTTACCCAGGTCCCCGGTAAGAATGTTCAGAAGTGTGGAAGAAGAGTTCTACACTCCTGAAAAGGAGAAGTCGCCGGAGCAGGTAGAAAAGAAGAGGAGAGTGGTGGAGATCAGCAAGGCCAAGATTGGGGTAATCCTTGCAAAGGCAATGAGTGAGGCTGAGCAGGTGCTCAGTAAGTCCTTGGAAGAAAGTGCAGGGGGTGAAGGTGTCGAAGCCGCGGAGGAAGAGGACACGATCATTGGAGGATTGGAATCGGTTGGAGCAACTACGGAGGAGGGGATAACTACAGATGAGGCTAGGAAAGATGACGCAGAGGAAGAGGAGGAAGAGGGTGCTGGGGCTGTAGAACGTAGTGATAAGTTTAATGTTAATGTAGAATTTAATATAGTCAAACACTGTATACAAAGTATCAGGGCGGCCACGACAATATATTCTGGATCTAAGATCCAATTCAATAGAGCGGAGCAGACGGAGGTGGCTGACAGATTGAATGATCTGTCAGACATCTTCACTGCATTTGTTATTGCGTTTGGGGATGGTACCGGGAAAATAAGGGAGACAGGGAATATAGGGAAAGAGAGTAGTAAAAGGGAGGAGGATAGTTTGGGCAAAATGTTTAGGGATTGGGAAACTAAAACGGAAAATAGGTTTAGAAAGTTGGAAGAGCGCATAGTGGAGGGATTTGTGGGAGCAGTTGGTGCAGTGCGAGAGAAGCCGGTGGAAAGGGAGGGGGTGAAGCAGACAGCGATACCTGTGGTGGGGGAGAAGCAGACAGTGATACCTGTGGCGCAGGGTATAACATACGCTCAGATGGCGGCTGAGCGGAGGGAGGAAAGTGACAAGGAAGTGCCAGGTTGGAGGACCCCGGAGGTTCAAAGGAAGAGGGAGGTAGTGGTAAGAGGGCAGGAGACGGATACGAATGTTATGGCGGCAGTCAAGGAGAAACTTTCTTCGGACGTTATTGGGAAAGATGGCTTAAAGGGTATTAGAAGATATGCTGGGGGTACACTTGTTGTGGAGTGTAGGGATGAGGAGCAATGGAAAAAGGTGGGGGAAAGGTTAAAAGGGGATAAAGGGGTGTCAGTTGTGGAAAGGGGAGTAAGGAGACCGGAGCTAATAATTTTGGGAGTAGAGAGGGGATATAGTGATAATGACTTTTTAGAGGGGCTTGTAAGAGAGAATGAGGATATTGGCGATATTGTTGGGGTTAGGCAGATCAAGGACGTTTTCAAAGTGGTAGTTCGTAGAAGGGGGAGGAGTGAATATAAGGAGCATGTGGTACTAGAGGTGGCCCCGGACGTTTTTAAGTTTATTATGAAAAAGGGGAGAGTTACGTTTGACCTGGTGGTGCACAGGGTAGAAGAGAACTTCAATGTAACCATGTGTAGAAGGTGTTGTAGATTTGGTCATGTGGTTAAATTTTGTAAAGAGCAGGTGGCATGTTATCGATGTGGATTAGCTGGTCACGAAGGGCTTAATTGTAGCGAGGAGACTTTTGGGTGCGTAAATTGTAAGAGGATGGGAGTAGCGGATAATATGAGGAGGCATGAGGCCACGGACAGGGGCTGTCCTGTGTACATAAGGAAGACGAGGGAATATGCGGGAAGGGTTGACTATGGAGTATGAGGATACTCCAGGTCAACCTAGGTAGGGGCAGGGAGGCCACGAATCTACTGGAGGTGACAGTCAATCAAGAAGGGTATGATGTGGTGCTCATTCAGGAGCCTTGGGGAAAAGCTGGGGGTTTGGAGGGGTGGGATATTTTTAAAGTTAATAAAGAGTGTAAGGTGGAAATTAGGGCTAGGATAGGTATGAAGGCTGAAGAGTTGTCGGGCAAGAACGTGACGACAATAACTGTTAGTGACGTATTGATTAGTACAATGTACGATGAGCCAGGGGTAGAGTTGTTAAAGTGTTGCATGATATTGACTGGATGAGGGAAACTGCAGGGGTAAGGGGAAGATGGGTAGTTGCAGGGGATTTTAACGCCAAGAATGAGGCATGGAGGGGCGAGGTGACTGATGAAAAAGGTACAGACTTATTAGAATGGGGAATAAGGGGGGGTTTTCGGTGTGCAAACGCAAGGAACTCCTTAGCGACATACAGTAGTACCAGGGGTGAGAGTTGGATAGATACTACATGGGCAAGAGGAGTTAGCATTACGGATTGGGATGTGTTGGGAGAAGAAACAATGAGCGACCACAGAATGATTACCTTTAGTGTTGATGTCATGACTGGTAGGGACAGTATTCATCGTAGTGTTAGGGATATTAAGGGGGCAGATTGGATGGGAGTAAGAGGAGCAGTCAGACAATTTCGGTTTGAAGACTGGGACCTTGGTACCAGGGAAGGGATTGAAGAAGCAGCTAGCGATCTTAATATGTCATGTGAGAATGTGTGTGTGAAATTTTTTAAGATACGTAATTTAGTAATAAGGGAAGGGGGGAATGGTGGTTCCAAAACTTCAAGCCAAAAAACGGGTGGTGGAAAGGCTGAGGAAGCATTGGCAACGAGAAAGGGCAACCGGTGGGCAAGAGGAGTCAGTTAGGAAAGAAGAGCATATCAAGGGTAGAGCAGAATATAAGAAATTGATTAGGGATAAGAAGCAGAATTGGGAAAAGTTGACTCTAGAACAGACCAGAGAAAATGAGCCATGGGCACGGGTGTGGGAGCTCTTGAGGAGGATAGAGGGTGGTGAGGACAAAAGGATAAGTAAACTTAAGGAGGGACAAGGAATGGATGAGTGGAACAGGGCCATGTTAAATAAACATCATCCAGGCATTAACGAACAAATGGAGAAGGAACGAATTGAATATAACAGGGTCATTAGAGAAGGCATAAACGGTGGTAGACACGTAGAAAAATTTTCCACCGGTGAGATAGAAGGGGTTATTAGAAGTATGGGTATGGGTAAGGCTAGTGGTGCTGATAGAATACCAAATGAACTGGTGAAGGTTATTTGGGAGGAGAGAAGGGAGGACGTTGGGAGGCTCCTTAACGCCTGCCTAGGGTGGGGGATGGTTGGTGGTCCCCAATTATGTGGAAGCAGGGGAATATTGCTTGGGTGCCTAAAAGGAGTGGGGGTGTGAGGCCCATCTGTCTTGTGGGATCTCTTGGCAGGGTGCTGGATAAGCTTCTTGCTGGGAGAGTCCAGCAGATGTGGGAGAAGGAAGGCATACATGAAGCTTATCAGTTTGGGTTTCGTGGGGGTAGAAGTACCGTGGACGCTGTGAGAAGTCTCACAAGCGTTATGTCCAGTAATAAGTTGGCGGGTGAGCATTCTTTGGTGGTTGCGCTTGACCTCAGAAACGCCTTCAACGCCGTCTGGGGTCCAGTGGTGGGAGAGGAACTTAGGAGGGGTGGTTTGGGAGGTAAAGAATTAGCGTCTTGTTGGGACTTCTTGCAAAACAGAACAGTGGGTAGTGGAGGGGTTGTAATCGGGGTTGATAGGGGCTGTCCGCAAGGGTCTAGTTTGGGATCGGTTCTTTGGAACGTGGGGCGGGTTGGTTTAGGGGTTTGAGGGGGGTTAATGATGGCTTGGTTGCAGAAAAAAACAAGGAACTGCCAAGGGAGAGATGGGATTGTAGGGTCAGAGTACATGCGCAGGCCTACGCGGACGATCAAGTTTTGGTAATATCAGGGAACTCGGTTAGAGAAATCGAACGATTGTGGGATGTTTGTTGGGATCAGTGTATGAGGTGGGCGAGGGACTCTGGCCTTGAATATAACCTTGATAAGACAGCAGGGATGTTTGTGCCAAGAAAGGGTAACATAAGGGAGCCG